TTTGTGTTGAGTATATATTCAGAACACTGAAGCGTTAGTCAACCTGTCCGTAAACTAGATTTACCAGTGACTCTTTGACATTACAGGTTGGTCTAAGATCGTTCGGGCCTACTTTCTGCAGCGGAGTGTTAATTGCAAAGACTGGGTGCTAACTGCCGGAAGGTGTTTTGACGGGTAAGAAAAACTGATAAAACACAGACAACCTACGGTACCACAAACCTGAGGAAAAAGACAACCAAGGCGTAAAGAGTAAAAATCATGTCAAATATAGTGTAGATAAGACAGATTCATACACCGTGCGTTTAGATTGTACATTCTCTGGGAGCTGATAGAAGGACGATTTTGACAGTGGTGAGTGAAAGTGAGTTTAGTTTTACGCCACTTACTCAGCAATAGTCCAGTTCTACATGGCGCCGATCTGTAAATAATCGAGTCTGGAACCAGACAGATCAACAGCATGAGCATCAATGTCTGCGCAATTGGGAACCGATGATATGTGTCAGCAAATCAGCGAGCCCTGACCATCCGATCCGTTAGTCGCCTCTTGCGAGATTAGTAGTAGTTGTTGTTGCTTTGTTGTTGTAGCAGTAGTACTATGCTTTTCAGTAGTAGTAGTAGCAGTAGTAGTAGTAGTAGTAGTAAAGTAATAACGGTAGCAGTAGTAGTAGTAGAATATTAGTAGCAGCAGTAGTAGTAGTGATAATGGCAGCTGGTATTAGTAGTAGTATTAGTAGTAGTAGTAGTAGTAGTAGTAGTGGTAGTAGTAGTAGTAAGAGTTTATGAACGACGCCGCGATTTATTTAACTGATAAGAAAATTATGTAAGAAAGTGTTCCATTCCGACGTTTTGATGCACGACGAGTGTTTTCTGCTGCAGGCACTATGATCCCACCAGCTGGATAGTTGTACAGGGGACTATAACAGAGGACGCCTGGACATTGAATAGTTGCTGACATGATTCTCTGCTGCGAGCGCATGACCCGACCAGCTGGATAGTTGTGTGCTGGGGACTATAACAGGAAGAGGACGCCTGGACGGTGGATGATTCTTTCCATTAACATGATTCTCTGCTGCGGGCACTATGACCAAACCAGCGGATAGTTGCTGAGACTTCGAGAGAGACAGCGCCTGGACGGTGAATGATTGATACGACTAACATGATTCTCTGCTGCAGGCACTATGACGACCAGCTGGATAGTTGACTATGACGACGCCTGGACATGATTCTCTCTCTGCAGGCACTATGATCCCACCAGCTGGATGATAGTTGTACAGGGGACTATGACAGGGACGCCTGGACGGTGGATAGTTGCTACGACTAACATGATTCTCTGCTGCAGGCACTATGATCCCACCAGCTGGATAGTTGTACAGGGGGACTATGACAGAGGATGCCTGGGCGGTAGGACCGACTGGCTTGCCGATTCTCTTGATGACGACTAACTGGATTGCCGCCGACTTCTCTGCTGCAGGCACTATGATCCCACCAGCTGGATAGTTGTACAGGGGGACTATGACAGGGGATGCCTGGACGGTGGATAGTTGATACGACTAACAAGATTCTCTGCTGCAGGCACTATGATCCCACCAGCTGGATAGTTGTACAGGGGGACTATGACAGAGGATGCCTGGACGGTGGATAGTTGATACGACTAACATGATTCTCTCACTGCAGGCACTATGATCCCACCAGCTGGATAGTTGTACAGGGGACTAGCTGCCACGACTAACAGGATTCTCTTCTGCCTGGCACGGTGGATAGTTGTACTACGACTGGACATGATTCTAACATGATTCTCTGCTGCAGGCACTATGATCCCACCAGCTGGATAGTTGTACAGGGGGACTATGACAGAGGACGCCTGGACGGTGGATAGTTGATACGACTAACATGATTCTCTGCTGCAGGCACTATGATACCACCACCTCGGATACTATGATGACAAGATTCTCTGCTGCAGGCACACTATGATGACAGGGACGCCGCCTGGACGGTGGATAGTTGCTACCCATGTGACCGATCCCACAGCTGGATAGCCAGTTGTACAGGGGACTATGACAGAGGACGCCTGGGCGGTGTGGATAGTTGATACGACTGGACATGATTCTCTGCTGCAGGCACTATGATCCCCACCAGCTATGTACTTGGGGACTATGACAGGGGACGCCTGGACGGTGGATAGTTGCTACGACTGACATAGTTCTCTGCTGCAGGCACTATGATCCCACCAGCTGGATATTTGCTACAACTAACATGGTTCTCTGCTGCAGGCACTATGATCCGACCAGCTGGATAGTTGCTACAACTAACATGATTCTCTGCTGTAGGCACTATGATCCCACCAGCTGGATAGTGGTACTGGGAGACTATGACAGGGGACGCCTGGAAGGGACGGAGATGAGGGTGCACGTCAGGAACATTGTCATACATGGAGGATTCACTATGGGTAAATTATTTTCTGTATGGAGCAATAAGATACTCGACTGACCGAAATCATAATTATAGCAAAGGCACCTTGTAACACAAGAATCACCGTTATTTATATAATTAATGAAAATCGAATTCCTTTGCACATTAAAGTTCTTCAAGACCACGTTTATTCAAATTATCGAGGTGTGCGTGCGTGAGTGCGTGCGTGCGTGCGTGAGTGTGTTCTTTGTTTGTCACATTTTTCCCTATTTGATGATTGCTACGTTTACTGCTTTGAAACACTGCCCTAATGTGGGTTAGAATTAACAGCACAGCACAGCACAGCACAGCACAGCACAACACTGCACTGCACACAGGTGTGGCAGCACTGGTTTTGTGTGGCGCCCATGAGACGACCCTAAAATTTGACTTTCCGTTCTGAGGCGGCCGTCAATGAATGAATAAATTACAAAATGAATATTGCTTTACGCCGCACCAGCAATTTTCCAGCTATTCGCGGCGATCCCGTCAATGAGGTTGCAGTGTGTCGACGTAGTGCAGGAGGTATGTCCTACAAATAAAATCACACTTTTATTCGCAGATCCCTACAGTAACGACGTGGCTCTGGTACAGTTGGTCCACCACGACATCGACTACCCATTCGTGTGCCTCCCAGGCTCGAACACGGACTTGCTGGGATCAAGTTGTGTGATCACTGGCTGGGGTGCCACCCACAAAGGTACTGAAAATTGGCTTAAATGAAAAATACGACGCGTTCAGTGGGAGAATAAAGGAATTGATCGACCGATAGAAAAAGCTGGAAGACCTGAGATAGCACGTGACCTAAAATTCGTCACAACAAATTCATTTTCTACCCACTACACTAGTCTCATCACTTACAGCGCAAATATTAACGCCAATACAGTCATAAGTCTTCGTTGAAATATAGACTTGTTAGATCGTATCGCCACGAGCGCTCGTAAGGACCCGTTGAACGAAGCAGCTTTAAGGCAGTCATGGGGTTTTCCTTCAATGGGGGTAGCGCAAAGAACCATCTATGATTCAGTGAAGGTGAGAGATCTTATAGTTACAACGGGTGTAAATTCCTGATGAACTAAAATTGGGGCCCGTTCAACAAAACGATCTTAGCGCGAAGACAGTCGTAAGTCAACATTTAACTAAAGTGTTCCGATGAACGTACCGCTAGGACACCTGTTCGTTCCCTTTCAACAAAGTGGTCACACAGCTACAACAGACTTTAAGTCTAAGTTCCACTTCGCAGTTACGATAGTCGTAGCTACGAACTCATTGCGAAGCGAGGAGTGAGTGAATGAGTTTAGTTTTACGCCGCACTCAGCAATATTCCAGCTATATGACAGCGGTCTGTAAATAATCGAGTCTGGACCAGACAATCCAGTGATCAACAGCATGAGCATCGATCTGCGCAATTGGGAACCGATGACATGTGTCAACCAAGCCAGCGAGCCTGACCACCCGATCCCGGCGATGCGAGGAGCTGGAATTGGTTCTAAAAAATTCATTTGAGTTGACTTTTGAGACAAACATATATTCTTGCAGACGGACCCTCGACGTAAACTGGGTACTTCTGCACTTCAATATCAGAAAGTTTAACACAATTAGCACTAGACTGGATTTAGTTAACGTTTTCCTTTCCAGGCGATGACTTGGCATACAAACTTCAGAAGCTGCCGATGAACGTTGTCAACGCCTCGCTGTGCCTGTTGCCTAGCAACACCCGAAGTGCCGATTACCTGTGCGCGGTCAGTGACGTCCAGGGAGGAGGCCCCTGCTCAGTGAGTGTCGTATGTGCAGATTACCTGGATTGTTTGGTTGTCAAATATGATTGATAGACGGAATGTTCTAGGGCCATTGCCATGGCTCTCATCTCGGTAAACGTACACTGACAAATTGGTCCATTGCCTTGGTTCTCGTGATCTCAAATCACCCATCGGTGTAAATCTATGTTCACTCTAATCAGAACTAAGTGCATAGGCGTTTTTTACTGTGAGTTCCGATGAGCGCGTGGGTGAATGCGCCGCTTTTCACAATGTCTCAGCATTATCAGGGGCGGTGGGGTAGCCCAGTGGTTGAAGCGATCGCTCGTCACCCCGAAGACCCGGGTTCGAGTCCCCACATGGGTACAATGTGTGAAGCCCATTTCTGGTGTGCCCCGCCCTGATAGTGTTGGAATATTGCTGAAAGCGGCGAAAACTAAACTCACTCACTCAGTAATATCAACGCAAGACACACGTGTCACCCGTATACGGATGAAAATCATTTAATAGTACCATGCCAAAATTACCGATCTCCAGGTTATGACAATAAAAGGAAGGTTTGAAAATGGGATATTTCACTCTGATAGGTATCTTACTTCCTCAGTAGCAGGGGCGGTAGGGTACCCTTGTGATTAAAGCGTTCGCTCGTCATCCCGAAGACCCGGGTTCGATTCCCCACATGGGTACAAAGTGTGAAGCCCATTTCTGGTGTCCGCCGCCGTGATATTGCTGGAATATTGCTAAAAGCGGCGTAAAACCATACTCACCCACTCACTCAGTCCAGGGCTTGCATTTCGGTACACCTGCACTTACCCCTGGATCCATTCGTGTTGTCCAGTGGGCGGTGGGGTAGTCTCGTGGTTAAAGCGTTCGCTCGTCACGCCCAACACCCGGGTTCGATTCCCCGCATAGGCCCAAAGTGTACAGCCAATGTCCGGTGTTCCCCGCAGAGGTAATGGTGGAATGTTGCCTAACGCGGCGTAAAACCATATTCACTCTCCCTGTCTTCAGATATGGGCGCAGTGGGGTATCTGACTGGTGTGAGGACCTGACTTTATTGTCAGCATCATAACCGTTCTATAAATGTTTGAAACCTGTACAGAATGCGATACTTTAGTGCTAGACTCCTCTTCTTCCACCGTCATAAATCTTTGCGTTTTGAAGTTTTCAAGATACATTTTCAACATGTTGTATTCAAAGAATTCGATGGTCGATAAATTGGATTTTTTTATGTACTCTCTATTTAGTTTTTCTTTAGAAACGGCACGGCAGATTCACAAAGATAGTTATAAAAACGATATCCGCAATATATTATCTTTAAAATACAACAGCAAGTCCTTACCTAGTCTGTCTCACAGAACCACATTATGTTCCCTTCCGCCGAGCCCTTTCTGCAATGCCAAAGTCCCAAATGAAGCCAGTCCAGATTTACCTGTTTCTGGGTCCCGATTCTCCACAAAGCGATCGTAACGTTACGACCTGTCGTGGCTATAGTTTAGTATTGGCTTACGAATATCGTAGCGCTACTAACGCTTTGTGGATCGATATTCGTAACCCTATGCTAAACTATAACGTTACGATCGCTTTGAGGATCTATTATTGTGAATGTTAAACGTTACGATTGCTTTGAGGATCTTTGTGTTAAACTAAAGTTACGACGGGATCCTCATTCTCGGGACCCTATCTCACTTCACCCCGGCTCCTTTTCAGTTTAAATGGAATTATTTGTTTCTGTTAATTTTATAAATTCACAAATTCAGAGACTTTGCGTTAGTCTGGTCCTAACCCACTCATCCTTCTGTTCACACAGGGTGATGCTGGCGGCGCACTGCAGTGTAGACTGGGATCGGTCTGGGTTGCCGCTGGAATAGTGCTGGACACATATGCATGTGGTAACACCACCGAGTTATACACCAACGTAAAGAGTTACCTCCCTTGGATACAGAAAACGATGACGCTTTTGAATGATGCAGGGACCATACAGCATTAAATAATGTCGAATCAACATTTTGCTTGTGCATAGTCAGCATTTTTCACACTTCAGCAACATACTCTCAAACACAGACATGGTCACTAATTATATAAGATTTGGGTGTCCAACATTTAAATCATACCTGTCAACTCTCGAGCATTTGGCTTGAGACTCACGCTTTTATGACTCGTGTCACGCTGCCAAGACAAAACTGATAACTCTCACGTCAAACCCGGTGAGGCTCAAGCATAAATTATTCATGTCACGCTCACGTGACAAAGCTGTGAAAAGGAAAACGAAAAAATCCGTTAAAACACAAAAATAGGTCTGAAGACTTCGTTTTCAGTGACTTTTCTAAGAAGAGAATTTGCATTTATGCGTTGATTTCAGTGGGGTTTCAGGACCCGCCCAACCAGCACTTACACCCTGGCATCTCAAGCTTTTTCACTCTTGGCGTTGGTAGTTCTGTTCAATATTACGGGGAATCGTTGATTTATTTTCCTGGGGAGATTTTTCTAATCACAATCATATTCTGTGAAGTGACGTCCGAAGAATCTGAGCATTTTTCAGACAACATATTTTGTTTTTCTATTTTGTTTAGCAAGTCACGCTAACAACCCTTAAAACATAATAAAGGGAACAGCGATTCGAAGTAATAGATTCCTGGTGCGCCCAAGGAAGGCAACTCTGGGTGTCCTCCCATTTGTGAGAACTCCCAGTTGTGAGACACATTAATTAATGGTTCAGTGCACACAGGTGGTGCTTCCCCATCCCTACACGTGGGAACAGCCCTGTTGCTGAAGAGTACCTGCAGGAGGCATAGTTCATTAATGAGTTAATTAACACAGAAGACATTGTTCGTTGAAGAGCATTTATTGTTTTCAATAAAGAACAAGTTAAATACTGAAATACTGAAAAAGATTATCATTATATTTACACAGAAGAAATAGTTCATTAAATATTTCATTATGATTTTTTATTCACACATTTTGATGATATGCGTTATTATGATGTTTCTGTGTCATTATAAAACACTTTTTTACATGGGTCCATATTTGGAGATTTTGACACTTTTCATATTGATCACGAAGTTACCTACACAAAGTGTTTATTTTTTAAAGCCATTTACCTGAGTAGGTTAATTACTTTATCTTTTAAGCTACCTCCACAAGATTCAGTTAAATAGCTAATCCCTTATTAGCTGGGGTTAATCCATTCTATCAGATAAGGGAGTAAGGTGTGTTTTCATTGCTACTTACCTACTCCACTGTCTCACAACTGGGAATCTCACAACTGGGAGTTCTCACAAATGGGAGTAGACCCAACTCTGCATAGTGTATTGCAGCGCCTCTTACTCCTTGGCCATCCATGCATGTAGTTTAAAATATGAGTCGGGTTTTATTACCCACGTTGTCAAAGTATGGCTAGTTGCACACTAATCTCGTACGTCACACGAGTGCAGTATCGCGTTGACCTGTGTCGTAACGACTTGACCTGAGATTATAAGGATTTGATTGGATAACCGATGACCTCGATTAGGTCACGTTGTGACGCGGAACTACTTTTTCATTCATAACAAACACGTGAATTCATTCATTCTACACCTTAGATGCATTGTGGGAATGTAAACGTTGCGAATGTTGCCGTGTCGCTGTTTAATTGTGAGTCGAACTGAGACATTATCCGTCGGAAAACATAAACGTAATGTTTCAACCGAGTGAAGCGACCGCAAACCAAGAAACGGGATGCAACGGAGTAGTTTACTGTAGGAGGCTGTACGAGGCGATGACAACTGACATGCATCGTGACGACGGTTACCAAGGGGGCGTATTGCAAAAAGTGTACAACAGAACAAACTTCTTCCGCAGCCTCTTTATGAAACCGGTTTCGGTTTGACACCATAACAATAACAAAAAATACGTTATTTTGTCAATTTAATGCATGTAAGTTGTGGGTAATAAATAAAATACCACACTCGGTCTCATTACATACGAATTGTGACCTTCCTATGGTTTCTGACCTCGCTTTCGCTCGGTCAGATACCATAAGCAGGACAATCGTTTCGTATGATTTGTATGTAATGAGCACACACTCCGGCACAGCGATGACTTAACCTAACATCACTGCCACAGATTATTTTGCATATCACGTGACCGGACCTTTCTCTTGTTTGTAACCAAACGCGCATATTCATAATAAGAAGAGACTGGACTCACGAAAGCTTTTCGGCGCTCTCTTCATAATGTTTTACATTGTTAAATATATATTCTTCCACAACTGCGACAGTAAGGTCTATGACAGTACATATTTAGATATCAAACTGGCTGCATCGTTTGCTCTCCTTCAGCGTCGTTGACAGCACGCGGAGCCGTACAACGTATGTAAACAAAGGATCGCTACGCAAATCAAAATAGTGTCACATGTTTTTTGATATTTTCTCAGTGAAACTAAACCATTCTATTAAAGATGTTTAGTTAGATGTGTAGACTCGTCAAAAATAAAAGAGAAAAAGAAATCTGTACATTATATTGAATGGACATTGTGGCAGAGGTAATATGCTGGGTGCATGGAACTCTGGGTAGGCGAGTGTAATGAGCAGTGTGCGAAACAGTTTCAAAAGTTTGCTATTCAGTCGGACTAGCTATGACTGAAAGTTACTAGCCCACAAAATAATTCACTAGCCCGAAATTTGAATAATATACATGTAGACACGGGCTTCATCATGAAAGCTGCTAATATGATGAACATTTTTAATCAGGCCATAATCTTGCATGATTTAAAAGTGTATTATAACTTAACAAGTCGGAGAAAGTGGTACATTTACAATATGACCCCATGAAAATTCACTAGCCAGTAGGGCCAGTGACTGTTGAGATTTACTGGCCCGACTGGATTTTGACTAGCAACGGGCTAGCGGGCCAGTGCCTATTTCGCACATTGGTAATGAGATCTTGTGTAGTATTCTCTATTTACGCCACTTTCGGCAATATTCTATTCATATCACAGCTGGGACAGGAAGGAATGGGCTTGCACGTACATTATACCCATGTGGAGAACTGTCCCGTGACGACCGAAGGCTTTAACCACTAGGCTACACCACCGCCCCCTTTGAAATAAAGTCTTATTCTCTGAACCTGCTTATAACTTGTATTCTAAGATGTGAAAGATCAAAGGCGCCGACTGTACTTATCAGACGATAATGTGCACTTTTTGAATTACGTCACAATGTATTGGCGTCACTGCGCCATTCTAGTCTGACCCTCTTAATCGAACACTTTCGCATTACGTCACAATGTAACCAACGTCACGATTCGTGTCAGCTGTCATCGCGTACAGCCTCCTACAGTAAACTACCCCGTTGCATCCCGTTTCTTGGTTTGCAGTTGCTTCACGCAGCTAACATCACTGGTGGAAACATTACGTTTATGTTTTCCGACTGATAAAATGTCTCAATTCGACTCATAATTTTCCAGCGACACGGTGACGTCGCAATGTTTACATTCCCACAATGCAACGGGGAATGACGCTTGACTACTCAGCTTCATCTGGATGTACTGATCTAAACTTACGTTGGTAGTAGAAATGCGACGTTCATATTGCCATATGGTTTACGTTAACCACAGATCGCAAGCGTCCTCGTACTTTAACTATAATAGTTCAGGGCGAAAGTGTGCTTTATTACACTATACATGGTGGTAGAGCGAACTGTATTTCTTAAATAAGTACTGTCGGTGCCTTTGATCTTTTACCGAAGCATCTTAGAAATGTTCATACGATTGAGGATGAGAGTGCATTGCAATGCTGACCACAGCAGTATACCAGCTATGTGGCGTCAGCCTGTAAACATTCAGCCTGGGTGTCGTTGTACAAAGCGATCTTAGCGCTAAGGTGACCGTAACTCACATACCTTAACATGGACTTACGACAGTCGTAGCGCTAAGGTTGTTTTGTACAACGGCGTCCTGGACAACAAAGTCCTGTGGTTGATACCGTGAGCAACGACCCACGAATTCAGTGAGTGAGTGAGTATAGTTTTACGCCGCACTCAGCAATATTTCCAGCCATATGGCGGCGGTCTGTAAATTATCGAGTCTGGACCAGACAATCCTAGTATCAACAGTATGAACATCAATCTACGCAATTGGGATACGGTGACATGTGTCAACCAAGTCAGTGAGCCTGACCACCCGATCACGCTAGTCGCCTCTTACACCAAGCGTGGGTTACTGAAGATCAGTTCTAACCCAGAACTTCACGGGTACATGGTCAGAGAGACCACCTAATACATGTAGCTGCCTGTGACACAACCAATTGAGAGATTGCATAATTAAAAGGATATGAGATTCAAAATTGGTAATTCTACATATGCTATTTAATATTGATCCTTTTTCACAACTTGCATTATGTCTCGTTTTTCGCACAAAAAAACCGACCTCAGAAGACCAGAATGAAGGTCTTGGGGGCAGCCAGGCCACGTGTCATTCGTGACCAACTCGTGCCATTCCGGGACAAGCCAAAAAGCGACTCGTGCCCCTCTCGAAGGATTTCATATTGGCGGATGAACATCAGAACTACTTTAAACAGGAACGATAACTCTATTCTTGTTTGATTCCAATGATACTTAATATCACACATTGTATCATACATTGTATTGCTGTTTATGTTTTTAAAGAATTAAACCTTTTTGATACAACTAAAAGAAGGAGAAAAACTTATTTGTTACAGACTTATTCTGTTGTAATTATTACCAGATGTTCACCTTATATTTCCAATTATATTTCTAAAAAGGGTTTGATTATCACAAACGGGATTTGTTTCATTAAATATGTAAATAAAATTTATAAAAGCTACATTAAATCCCAAAGCAGAAACTCAAAAATGACTTTAAGATATTTCTCAAAACTGCCCAATGTTAAAGACTAAAGTTGATTAGTTACATGCAGATATATGCCTAATATTATTGTTTTGAAACTCGTAGCGATTTATAATTACATTGCCTAAAATTGTTGGAAGCCCGCGTACAATCTCCATA